ATCAACAGCTACTCCTCCAATACGAAAATAATTATGCATCATTCGCATGCCTGTAGCTGATTCAAATAAGTCATAGATCATTTCTCTTTCTCTAAGTATATAAAAAAAAGGTGTTTGTGCACCAATATCAGCCATAAAAGGACCTAGCCATAATAGATGAGAAGCTATTCGACTTATATATGCCATCAACATTATCAATCTATTGCAGCCGCCGCCGTCTGTGCCGAAGCGTGTCCAACATTTCCTCATTGTACACATCCCTATCACCCAGATATTCGTTGTCCTTTTGTGCTCAAGGACGCTATCAGGACTGCATGATGCCGCACTGTGATGAACGTCCTGCTGTTTTTTTGACATGTGGACAGCATGTCCTTTGTCAGGACTGTTGTGATGGGATGGTCCGTGCTAGCCATCCTGCTGAATGCTGTGCCGAAGTAGCTCTCCTTGGGTATCCTTGTGAACATCCACGTCATCCCCAGCGTGCCTGTCCTATCTGCCGGGGTGGGGGCTCCTCTTCCTGACTGATCAATAGAATCAAGCGATCAGGAGCAACAGATGTGGAGTTGAAGAAAGAAGAAAGAAAAAATTGAAACAAAAAGCAAAAAAGAAAGAAAGAAAAAAACTACAAATTTCTGAAGAAAAGAAAAAGAAAACAAGAAAAATAAAAGAGAGAAAAATAAAATAATATGTTGAACCTTGTAGTGATAGTGGCAATTGGTTTTTCTGTGGGATGTGTCATTTGCTTTCTTCCCTTGTCTTTTCTTTGATTGGATCCCTTTCTCTTTCTCTTGCCTCTGTGAGGTCTGGTTTCCTCCTCCTTTTCCTTACCTCTTTGCCTTTTGGTTGTGTGCAAGTGGGTCCTTGTGACACACGGGGATGGGGGCAGCCAGCGCTCAACCTGTCATCCATGTGGCTGGCCTTGTACGTAAGAGGTGATGAACAGGTGGGGCTTTCCTTCCTTCCTTCTTTTCCTTTCCCTGTTTTGTTTTTTTTCACCTTCGCGCTCTGATTCACAGTGTGACAAATATATATATATATCGGTGAAACTCCGACGAAACAGTTTGTCACAGCCCCTCGTTTGTTGTCCTCTTCTCTCTCTCTGCCTACGGTTTACCGGGCAGTTCTATTTGTGACGATATATATCCACAAAAGGGTGGAGGGCAAAAGGCAACTTACCTAAGACAAGAGGACTCCACCAGCAAGGAAACACGAACCCCATCCATGTCAGCCCACAAAACCACAAACTTTATTAAACAAACCCAACAGCATAACACAAAAGGCTCCGCTAACAAAAAAGCACCGACCACACATGTGGTCTTAAAAAGAAATAGAGCCCTCTGCGACGGCCTACAACGCCACTACAAATCAAAATTACACCGCAGGATCTGTACGCAACACCAAGAGTGCCATGAACCTCCCCCTGCTGCACAACCTGCAGAATCAGATGATATCCTATGTGCGTGTGTGTGTGGTCCAGTATACTTTCTAAGCTACTTCATACATCCGTGACTTACCATGACCGGCTTTCCAGCGTCCCACATAGAATGGAGGGCATGGGGGAGGCGGGAGGCCAGACAACATGCAAGCAGATCAAACAAGAAAACCAAACAAGAAGTTCCAAAAAGATGTAAAGACCAGGAGGGCATCGGGGAGGCGGGAGGGCAGACGACATGCAAGAACACCAAACAGGCAAACCAAAAAAGTACAAGTCCCAAAGAAGCAAAGAAAGCTGATGATAACAAGATTGTTTCGTCGGAGTTGCACCGACTCATCAGGAGGCTGAACTCTTGACAATCTGTGGAATCTCCTTATTGATGCTTTGGATCGTGAACCCTTTGACCCTTATTGAAGACAGACTGTCCCCAAATGGAACCCATCAGCGGGCAGCAACCCAGCGAAGCGCCAGGCAGCGCTGCAGAGGCAACACGGCTGCTTAGCGCCAAAGACTACTGCAAAAAGACCGACATTGCAGGCGGGCGGACAGCGCGGCAACCACGCAATGAAGCACAAGGCAACACCAACAAAGCAACCACATTGCAGGGATGACAGGGCGAGCAAACGAGCAGCACAGCAACCATGCAATAGAGTACAAGGCAACGCCAACAAGGCAAGCGAACGACAAGGTGTGCAAGCAAAGAACACGGAAGGCACAGCCTGCGGATGGGCGGCAAGGCAGCGGAGCGGCGAAGCGCAATGCAACACCAACAGCACAGCCACACCACATAGTGAACACAACATCTTGCCAAAAACGACCTGCGAAGCAAGCGGGACAGGCAGCAAGGCGGCCGTGGTGCGCAGACGAGGCAGTGCACACGTCCAATACAGAGCAAATGCTGCAAAGCGGCACATGACCTACTCACATCACCGGTGAACCCCGTAAACTGTTGGTTCCCCCCACCCACTCAACCAGGGAGTCACGCAGACGAACATCCATTATCACCCGTAGGGCAGACACAACTGAGTGACCCCCCAAGAGTGTTGTAGGCACTCCGAAGCAGTAGTCACCGACTGTTTGGCACTGCTTGAGGGTGCCCATCTCGGTACAGAAAAAAATACTTCAAAAAAAATTGGAAGAAAGCATACAAAAAGAGACAGGCAAACGTACATTAAAATGATTGTGTGTGTGTGTGTGTGTGTGTGTGTGTGTGTGTGTGTGTGTGTGTGTGTGTGTGTGTGTGTGTGTGTTAACCGTAAGCCATAGCGTAATACCGTAAGAGGTAAGAAAACCACACAGTAATCTGTGGGATGACACATGCATCCAGATTCCAGACAAATCTTCTTTATTGTGGGGAGTTGTGATGGAAGCAATTTGATTACATACTAGACAGTGCGCCAGTGGCAAGTGCTACCACAGTCCTTTACTCTTTACCCTATTGACTATGTAGGAGACATATGCTATTAGCCTATTAGGCATTAACATAGGCTGGCAGGACTACTCCCAAAGATCCCCACGCACACAAAGACCCTGAACAGAACACTCTAACAATACGGCAAAAAGAAAAGAAAAGAAAAGAAAAGAAACGGAGAAGAGTAATGTTGGACTGTTTCGTTGCTCTTGCGCCGCCCAATCAGGAGGCTGAACCCTCGACAGTCTGCACAATCATCTCGCAATGCATTGAGTTACAACCATACTTCAAACCCTGTTGCGTGTGAGCAAACAAAAAAAAGAAAACATGCAACACAACATAGACAAGGTACAGGAAGCAGCAAGGCGGGGAGGCACGGCACAGTGTCCAGCAAGGCAACACGGGAAGGAACGACAAAAGGAGCACGATTCGTTTCCGCTAAACAAGAAATAAAAAACAGAATCAATAAAGGAAAAAGGGGAATACCAAACCATATCTGTTTTTGTGCTATGACACACAAGCGGCGGTAAGGCAGGAAGGCAATGCACAGAATGCAGCAAGGCAGCACAGCACAGCAAGACAAGGCACCGCATGGCAGGACACGGCAAGGCAAGTGGACAGCAAGGGAAGGCAAGGCAAGGCAAGTGAACAGCAAGGCAAGGCAATGCAAGTGAACAACGACGCATGTGGTGGGCAGGCAGCCGGGCGAGTGAGATACGAACGCAATAAGACAGTGAACAACACAGAAACTCAAGGACGCAGCAAGGAACAAAATGGACTATGATCCACTCAGTGGCACTCGCATCATATGGAAAACCCAGCAGACTATTGGTTCACACCCCATCAGAATCCAGAAGACATCCGGTGAGTGCCCATCAGGAGCAGAAAACACAGACACAATCATCTGAAATGAAGCCGCCCGCTAGTAGTGTAACAGGCACTCTGTAGTAGAGTCTGTACAAGCAGCCACTAACTATTTGGCACAACTTGAAGGTGCTCAACTTTGGTACTACAAAAAACAGAAAGGGGAATGGCCCGATCCACACAGGAAGCAGACAACAGCATGGAGAAAACTTTTACGAGAACAAGAGAAAAAAAAAGCAGCTGTAGTAATGATAATAATAGGAATTTGATTGTGTGTGTGTGTGTGTGTGTGTGTGTGAGAGAGAGAGAGAGAGAGAGGAAAAGACAGAGAGACGGAGAGAATGATCCCTCGCAGCAGGAGATCCACACACCGGGCGACGTCTGTGAATGCCAGTGGTACTGTGCACACCAGACTAACCCCGTTACCCCTGTATTCTGCCCATGCTTCTTTTCTCTGTCCTAGACTCCTTTTGGTCTCGTATGAAATTTCCACGACATTTTGAGCAGTATCAAACATACTTGCACGCGCACGCCGTGCGGGCGGTTCCCGACGTGCGGCGCACAACATGTGCGGGGAACGACCCGTCACCCCCCTCAGAAAAAAAAAAGGCCGGGTTCGAAATGGTGCGTTTGAGGGCCCCCGCCAAAATTACAAGCGAGATGAAAAAAAAAAATACAGGAGTACTGCCTCACCTTGCTCCTCCTCTCCTTCCTCATCCTCCATGTCTCCTCCTCCCTTCTCCTTTTCATCTCCTCCGACTCGTCCTCCTCCTCTTGCTCTTCCTCATCCTCCTTGTCTCCTCCTCCTCTTCGTACTTCCTCATCTTCCATGCCTCCTTGTCTCCTTCCCTTCCTCGTGTCCTCCCCTTCCTCGCCGTCCACGTTTCCTCCTCCTCCTGCCCTTCCTCTTTTCCCTCCGTCCATCTCTTCTCCTCCCCCCATCCTCGTCCTCGCTATCCTCGTCGTCCTCCTCGTCCACATCCTCCTCCTCCTCTCCATATCCCCATCTTCCTGTCCTACACCCCCCCGTTCCCCCTCCCAGAAAAAAGATAAAAATTTATTAAAAATAATAATAAAAATAAAAAACCTCCACGATTCCGCACAGGCACCCCCCGCACAGAACTCCACACAGAGAATGTGCAGCTCGTGCGGTTGCAAGTATGGTATCAAAGCAAATGTGTACACTTCCAATTGACTTTATAAGCCACCAGTATTTCTTATTACAGCTTAGTCCGTGTCAGTGTCATTTTTTCAACCAAAAAAAAAAAACAAAAAAAAACACCAGTATCCTTCTCAGCCATTTTGTTCCAATCCAGCCGTCGACTCATCACGTCTTTCGGCGCTTGGTCTACCCAAACAAAACGGCTGGCGGCACCGTTGAAGTTTTTCAATCCCGTGCCGAAAACTGTTCAAGCAAAACTCGGCACGCAGCTGAAGTCGGCATTGGGAAAAAGAGACTCAGAAGTACTGTTTGGTTTAATAACTTAACTAGGTTTATTTAACTTTATTACTATATGTGACGATTACCATCATAGGTCTTTGGGATTTTGCCTCTGTTGTCGTTCTGCGGTTGCTCCCACGTTTCAAGGACTTCTCACTGTGGTTCGAACTCTGACTCAAGTTTAATGGTTTGGGTGAGTTGAGCAGGCTTCTTCATACTGGAAGATAACATGGCATTCAACAAGGGACATAAGCTGCGAAGAGGCACGTACAATTAGCACTCTTGCCCCCATCCTAATCACAGAAAGAGACAGCAAATGCTCATTTAACCACCAGTCTGCTTCCCAGTAATCTTGTTCGAACCTGGCAGATAACACGCTGCAAAATTGCAGATAAATGCTGGTGGTGCCTGGCAATTTTTGTTGCGTGCCGACGGCGATCCCTTTTTGGTTAACACGCTGCAAAATTGCAGATAAATGCTGGTGGTGCCTGGCAATTTTTGTTGCGTGCCGACGGCGATCCCTTTTTGGTTAACACGCTGCGAAATTGCAGGTAAATGCTGGTGGTGCCTGGCTATTTTTTTTGTGTCGGCGGCCATCCCTTTTTTATGGGCAGGCAGCTGAGCAGGGTTGGAAAAAAGGAGGCGGCCTGCATGGACTGGTGGCTGAAGGAATCAGCAGTCAGTGACAGTAATTGGCTTGAGGATGATGTGGATGCAAAGCCTGGCTTTCGACTCCTCCGCGGACCCATCTGACGTCAGGAGTTTGCCTCACGCAAAGTGACGCAAAGTTTTTTGTTCAGCTGTCGACCAGCAGGTGGAACATTTGAAGTGTGCAAGCATGGCAAGGCCTTCTTTCAGTAGTCAAGGCGTCGGTGATGAGCTTTTCCGCCGTTTGGCCGACAGCGTGCTGATCATCTGTCATAAACAATCCATACCAGGAGAGGTTGATTACCCAGGATTTCCTTTCGTAGGAGATGGGGTGTGCCTTTGCCGAATTTTGATGACGACTGCGCTGTGAATAGATATGCTCGATCACAGCAATTTAAGCGGCACGATGATTTGAAACCACGCTGCAAACGACAGAAGGGAGATGAACCAACAGTGCCTGGACGGGACTGCAGGTGCCATCCGATCTGCGTATCTTAAGGAGGCTAGCTATATCGGTGTTCGTAGAGGCAAAGGTACAAAATGGTGGTACCACAGACAACGGATAAGCCAGCAGATAGCCAAATTAGCACAGTTTTATGTTGTCTGGCCAGTTTCAGTTTTGTGCATTATGCCCATCGCCCAGTCGTCACCATCGTACCACCGTGTTATCTCATAATCGGGACTGCAGGCGCCATCCGATCTATAGCTTGCAAACAGTGAGGAAGAGGAGCCTTCCAGACATAAAGAAGCTTATCTCCTCCTCCTGCCTACAAGAAGGTGAAATTCTTTTTTTTTTAAAAAGGGCAACGGTCTTGAGATACCATCATTGAGCTGACCGGCCCCAGGCAATTTGTTAGTGGTTGGTTTTACTTGTCAAGTTCCATCATCTGGATTTGGACACAGGTCTGTATTTCAACAGTTCAATTGTGTACCCACTGAGCTAGGCTCTTGGGTAAGAACTTAAGAAGGTGAAATTCTTTCCACCATGTCATCTCATAATCGGCTCAATCAGTCTGGGAAGCATATTTCAGTGCAGCCTGCCCGCATGCATTGCAGCATACACTGCAGCCTTGAACCTGGAATATGCTTCCCCAGACTGAATGTAACACTTTCTAGTGTGCAGTAATCCAGGCATGGAGGTGATTACTGCACACTAGAAAGTAATGCAGTAATCCTGGCCTGTCCGCATACCTTGAACCTGGAGGTGATTACGGCACACTAGAAAGTAACTCTCAGTCATCCAGGTATGGACCAATTCGCTCACAAAGGAGAAATTGGCACCACCCTCCTACACGTGCACAAGGCATAATTATCTGTCTCGTTCTGTGGGGTATGATGATTGCTGAGCCGTTGCACGCTACTCATGACCATCTGGTTCAAAGCACCAGGACACCACACATGGGCCCACGTGTGTCAGCATGACACCCGCACCGTTTCCGAGGCCGCCGATTGCGTTTTTTCAAAGGCGCCCCTGGCCTTGCAGCGCCTCCGAGTTGTGTGCTTCTAGTGACGAAGACTTTCTGCAAGGCTGGGCCCGTGTACTAGCGGTTCAAAACATTGTTGTTGATAGTCCATCCACAGGTGGCACTGTAGATTTTGCTTGTACACAAGTAGCGGGCATAAAACTACAGTGCTCAGGCCTGATAGAGGCTCGATGGGAAGGAGCATCTGTACATATTTTTCGAAAGCCAGCACTGTACATTCTAGGCTTGGAAAAATGCATCATTTGGTTTGCCAATTTACCTTCGGATCATACTTGCAAGCGGACGCCGTCCCCGCGGTTCCGCACGTGCGGCGGACCGCCGGACCGGACCCGCGCGGCACACGAATGTGCGCCCAACGATCAGTTACCCCCCGCCCCCCCCCAAACAAAAAAAAAAACGGCTTCAGGCTTCAGGCTTCCAAATGCTTGCAATGAAATTCAGGCTTCAGGCTTCCAAATGCTTGCAATGAAATTCAGGCTTCAGGCTTCCAAATGCTTGTGAGTCCAATGCAACTATACTCGGCGACATACGCTGTGCACATGACAGATCTGGAACTGAGGGTCTGAATGTGGATCATATCCCTTACACTGTGCATGACACAGGTCAAGAACTAAGCGTCTGAATGTGGATCATAACCCGTACACTGTGCATGAGACAGGTCTTCTGGAACTACATGTCTGCAGCATGTCTACCATATCCCAGTGCTTTCGTTAAATTCCCAGTGTGCGTTTGGTTTGTATGGTGATTATGATCAGAAATTTCCAATTTGGTTAAAACTTAAAAGTTGGAAGTCGTCTCTTCCGTGCGGTGACAAACTTGCTGGTGCCAAGGGTTACACATCAGGGGGCTCGTTGCCAGAGCAGTCATGGGCAAAGTGAGAAGAGATACGACTGCATCGTCCATATCCTGCGACTGTTGGAGAACATGCTGCACCTCGGCAGGTTTCAGATACGACTGCATCGTCCATATCCTGTGACTTTCAAAGCGATACGTCACTCTTGCACTTGTGGGAAATGTTTCTGTCATGGCAATAATTCTACAGAAAGAGGTTTAAGTTCTGCCCATGGTCATGGGACTCATGGCGATGGCACCTGAAAGGGATGGGACTAGTTCAGGGACAAGTAAGGATGGAACTCTTATTGTGAATTTGTGAATTAAATATACTAAAGAGACTTTCCGTACTACAGAATCGTACAGATCTTATTCCTTTCAGCCCCTCCCCACCAATAGATTGGAGCCATCTATCACTAGGGGCCTACTATTGGGGGATGCATGCTCCTATCACTTCCAATAGTGGGCTCCCGAGACGTTTTCTCAAAAAAAAAAAAAAAAAAAAGCTCGACCCTACTGCGGGGGGCCTCTCCCCTCACAACAAGACTGGTGGACTTTTGGCAGACAGATTTCCTGGCAGGCACCTTCCACCCAACCACACTGGTTCGAACTTCGAGTCCCCCAAAGAGAGAGAAAAAAAAAACAAAAGGAAGAAGAAAAAAAAAAAAAACTTTTGAGGCCCCTTGCTTACAATGGGGTTCACATAATTTCTTGAAACTTCTGACATACAATGTGTTTGTGGCCCTTGATTTCTTTTTGACGTCGTGCATTTTGAAAATCATGTGAACCCCACCGGCCCCACTTATGCCCCCCTCCTCCCCCCCCCCTGCTCCAATTTACAGCCACCCTTCCACATGTGCAAAACTTACACATCCACCACCTCCCATGGTATTGCCATGGTTCTTTCGTCTGTGGAAACTTCCCCCTCAGCCACACAGATGAGTGGAACAGCCCTCTGTTTTTCTTTTTTCTTTCCATCCACTCCTCCCCCCCCCCCCCCCCCCCCCCCCCCCCCCCACCCACACACACAAGTCCAGGTTGTTGTAGAGGCCGGCTACCAGGCATATGACGGCGTGTCAGCAACTAATCATCGGATCACCGCGATGTACTGCCTGATCGGTCCCCTATGTAACACCCTCCCACCCTTACTCATCATTACGATCCCTGGCGCATCCCTACTCCCAAGGTCCTACCTGAATATACCTGTAAGGAAAATGAGCAATAGCGAAATACAGGATTCCAGATTGCAAAATCACAATGAAAGCCGGATAAGTCGAAAGTTGTCCTGAAAGTGGAAATGCACTGATGTCACACCGAAGGAGAACCAAAGCAGTGAACTCAATTGTCAATGAAAGCATACTCTCGCCACCACCAACAATACAATCAAAGCTCTTCCTCGTATCGGCGCCCAGTGGCCAGACTACTCTGCCACAGCTATATACTACAGGCCTACGAAATGACGAAGCAACCAGTTGAAGTCAGCAGCAGCAACCGAAGTACATGTAGATGTCGACCATGCAGACCCCTGCCAAGACCAGGTACGTGCCCTCACATCACTTCCTCATTCACCCCTCACCCTCGACTTAATCACCCACATCTCCCCTTCACCCGAAGACCTCCACCATACCCCGCCGACCTTACTTCAAGTTTGCCCCGCTATGGGGACCAAGCTATGACGCTGCCGTCAA